AATATATTTATATAGAAATTTTTTTTCCTAATTTTTTTTTACACTTTGTTATAAACTGAAAGAAAAAATTTTCTTTTTTTTTATCAAGCAGTCACTATGACTGCTTGATAAATTAGCCAAAAATGTTTTTAAAAAGTTATTATTAGGGTGCACTAAACTTAGGAACAGCTAATAATAACCTTAGAGACTGATCCTGACAGCATGTCAGAATCGGATCTCACTGAAGGCCTTAAGGTCCCATTCACATTGAGCGATTTTTGCAGCGATATCGCTCATATTTCCGCACTATATCGCTCTATGTAGCTTCCCCAATACATTTCAATGTAGCTGTTCACATCTTGTCGCTCAATATCGCTCAATATCGCTTGTAGCTCGTCGCTCCTACATGACCCTTTTTTGGAGCGATTTTGAGCGATATTGCTCCTGATTGCATACAGCCCAATAGGAAGAAGTCGCGCGACACGTCGCTCAAAGTCACGCGATTTCCATGTCGCTCAGTGTGAATGGGGTCTTAAACGTGCCTAGACGATCAGAAGTGATGCATTTCAAGCAAAGAGATACTGTACATTGTATCTCTGCCTGAAATGTTTCATAAACATTGGGCTATCGAGCTGTCAAAATGAATGGCAGAGAGGTGAGTCACTCTGCTACCTCTCTGCTATTTTCAGCTGTCAAATACGGGATTGTTATTTAGCTGTCCCGTATTTGCATGTAACGGCTTCATTCTTTCATTAATGAAAGAAAGAAGCTTTTACTATGCTTAACGATTTCATTAATGAATGCCTCAATACTGAGGCATTCATTAATGACTGGTAACCGCTGAAAATCAGCTGTTACCAGCATTACAGAGCCTGATATAACTCGTCACGTACAGTGTACGGGGCCAGTCATATAGGCACTTTGTGACGGGACGTACACTATGTCTCCCGTCACGAAGGGGTTAAGTGTATTTCTAAAACACATTTCACCATTCAAATGACTCAGGCTGGAGAAAGTATGTGATCCCTTCTAAGACCTTCTTTAGCACCAATGATCTCTTTTAAATGTTCCCCATAGTTAATAGTTGCACAGAAGTCTGGGGAAATTTTAAAAGAAATTATTTCTTACAAAATGTTCAATTCCTTGATACTTATGGGATTCCATGTGTTACGAATGCTCTTCAGACCATACCACAGCATGTCAACTGGACTGAGGTAATCATTTTCAGAGTAATAATTTTCTTTTTGTTGATTTGCTCCCACTGTCTTGACATTCCCCTCTTGGCCCATCCCGGCACACTTATACTCCCGTTTCTTGCCCTTTGCTGTGCTGCTGACAAATAGAGTGCTTCTTGTATGGGTGAACATAGGTCCTCTACCCATGCTGAAGTGGTCAATAGCTGAGCCAAGGAATGTCAAGTGAGGAATAAGATGATATTATCAACCCTGTATAACCGCCAACATGCATCTTATACAGGGTTGGATACCAGGAGCAACAGAGCAGCGAGGAGTACGTGGATGGTATAAGTGGGTCAGCAAGTGGGCTTTAAAGAGAATCTGTCACTTTACCAATCTTCAAACTGCTGATTTAATTAAACTTAAAATTTTAATTAAACTTATCATTAAATAAACTCCAAGAGCTTTTTTTTTTTATACATCACTTTATTTTACATCATGTACACATGTCCCCAAATGAGCAGAAGAAAATACATTTTAACTCCAGGGTGACGCTGGGTCTATGGCAGTCATTGGTGTTAAGGTTATCATTGATGACGCTAATCCTGTGCCCGGGGAATTGATAGACCGCAGTGAATTGTACCAGTCATCATGTAGGCGAGTGGGTGGGGTGGCAGCGGGCAGAGGGGGGTGTGTGCTAGAACACATGAACTGACTGACGGATGATGCTGGCTGGTACCCTGCAGGTGCCATAGATGTGAAGCGGGGTATGTGGTTCAGGGTGTGGGGATACTGGTACTGACGAGATCCAGGAGGCACGGAGCACACACCAGGAATCAGGCTCCCGCAGGCAATCATACCACTTGCTGTCATTGACTTCTGATTCGTTCTTTCGTGTTTTCGATGTTTCGCCCTCCGATTCTGAAACCAAACCTGTAAATTTAAGGAATTTTATAATATTTGTGCAAATTGTAAATCATTTCCATCTGTTGCCGTTATTCCATCTCTCGGGGTGGCCCACGTCTCCTACATTTGCTTCATTTTAGTCTCTCTTTAGCATTTAACACTTTGGGGACTGTTAGATGCCTGTGTCCCTCCCTTGTCCTGTGTGCGCTATGGTCCCATCCTCCAACCCTTACATCACTGCTGAATCCTGTAGTGACGTATGTGTTGGACAATGGCGCCATGGTGTACAGTAGGAAACAGGCATTTGACACTCCCAGAAGTAACAAAAGAGACTGACAGAAGTGGCACATCCACTGGAGAGGTTAGTATAAAGCTTTTCCCCTGCAAGGCATATTCTTTTAGGATTTTTGATACCCTGACAAGGTCACTTTCATCTAAAAAAACAATGCAAAATATTATACTGCAAAACCCGTAGGCGACTGCCAATTAGATATTTTTATGAAGCGAGATGACTTAAAGCAACTCTTTTCTGTGCCACTGTTTCCAAAACCTATTGCCAAATATGAAGCATTCAGCTTATAAACAACTCACTAATGCACAATCAATGACCGAAACCTCTGCTCCCGTCTGTCTCTAGAGACTCAGGTGTCCCCCCCCATTGGGCGCCAACATCCTTCCACTTTCCAAAGAGAATGATAAGTCAGGATGTCTATCACAGCCCCATATATTAAAGTTATCTCAGCCGTTTCTGTGATAGTCATGTGCTTATAGCTCTCTGCATATGTCCATGGAAAGGGTAAGTGGTGGGAGATGGATGGATGGCTTAGCTGTCAACATTTGACAAATAGTAGAAATATGCAAATCACTGTTTAGTAATCCAGTAATCCTAGGCTGGATAATTTCTGTAATGGAGGAATACATTTGAAACAGTTGATGGAGAAGATTAGGGGTTTTTGTAATAGTCTATTGTTATCTTCAGTAGTAATAGCAGTAACATTAATGGTAGCACAATAAAGTGCCATTCACTGCAGTGGTAATAATAATCTTACCTGTATCCGGGCTTCATTGAGCTTGGTGATCTTGGCCAGTTCTTCCCGGCAGTAGATATCTGGATAGTGATTCTTGCCAAACGCTGTCTCTAGATGCTCCAGCTGTTCTTGGCTGAAGGTGGTGCGATGTCTTCTTCTAGTTGGGGTGGGATAATGAGGTGGAGCATGTCTGCCCGATGACAATAAAGTGGTGTTGTCGACACCGGCGTCATTGGTAAATGGCTTATATGAATTATGGATGTCTGGGAAGAAAGACAAGACACAGTTAGGACAATGCATCTTTATGACTTTACGGATCTGAAGGTAGACTTTTTTGTACCAAATTGATTTAGCTGTTGACTTGTGTATAATCCACAGTAACCAATCAAACGTCAGGATCAGCAGTTAGATACTGTAAAGAATGACAGGGTACCCCTACTTCAGGAGCAGCAGTTACATACTGTAAAGAATGACAGGGTTTCCCGTACTTCTACCCTTCTTGGTAAGAATGCCAGCTCTAATGGCACTTGCCCCTTATGTTTGTTGAGAAGAAGGGATGAGAAAAATTGATGGTTTTCATTTTGGCGGAATGAATTTAAGGTCAATGGGTAAGTGAAATTAGGGTGTTTTTTGGGGGGGGTTTAAGGGTGCTACAAGTCTTAAATGGCTCCTGGCGGTTGCTTATTTTAAATGTCCAGCCTCATTATTTTATTTATTACAGGTATTTATTATATCACCAACAATGTATGCAGTGCATTACACACTACATATTCACATCAGTCACCGCTCTGAAGAAGCTTACAATCAGTCTTTATCTCAATTTCATACTGTACTAGGGTCAATTTAGACAGGAGTAAATACATCTACCAGTTTGTCTTTGGAGTGTGGGGGAAACCAGAGTACCCAGAAGAAACTTAACCAAGCACAGGAAGAACATGTAAGCTCCATGCATACAGTGTCCAGGCTGGAATTTGAACTGAGAACCCCAGTGCTGCAAAGCAGACGTGCTAACCGCTAAGCCATTGTCAGGGTTTTTCACAAAAGGGTGGAGAGTTGGGGAAGGCAGGAGAAGAGAACATTGTAGGACAACATAGCTGAACTGGAACGTGAGCTGAATTGGAGATTTTTTTTCCAGTTCAGCTATATTGTCCTAGATTGTTCACTTCTCCTGTCTTCCCCAAACTCTTCACACTGCAGTGAGTAGCCGTGTGTATGTTTTTTATACAGAAAAAAACTTAAAAAGTAACAAAAACACAACAAAAGAAAAATAACAAATACAAAGAACGCTAAATTAAATTAACTAAACTACTCCAAATACATTTTAAAAAACCCTATAAATAAAATGAGTAGGTCGTATATATATATATATATTTTTTTTCAAGCAGCTCAAAGAGGGAAATTTAGAGTTTCCACTGATTTCCAATGGAAAAATCTGTATTTTTGCTGAATTCACTCTGCTTATCCCCATTGAGGAGGGATGGTCTCCTGCATCTGTGCTGACAAGGGTCGCAGGACATCAATCAACATTTATAGAATAAGTTCAGAAAAAAATATATATTTTCTTCCAGAAGTATCTGGACATTCAATGTGTTTTCTTTATAATGATCCGAGAACACCAAAAGCTTAAGGCAGACTATTGAAAACATGAAAACATCAACCCGCACTTAACCACTATGGTGCAAAGCCACAATCTACCTTCCAAGGATGCACATCACTTTACTGCAGGATTGTAGCACATATGCAATCTCCTTTGAATGTATCTTTATTTGATAATGTAAAATGCATAAAAACAACACTTAATCTCATGTTTCAGCCCCACTGGGCCTTAGTCATAGTATAGCTGCTATGACTAAGGCCCAGTAGGGTGGAAACATGTAAGTGTTGCCTTTATGGACTTTACAGTAATAAAATAAATGAAATAAATAATGAAATAAAGATATATTCCGTGAAGATTCTTTGTGCACCATCTGAGCATTGCTATGGCTTACCAAATGTGATGTCTGGGCTCAGTGGCCAATAGCAAAGCACAGGAGGCGGGAAAAAGCATGGGCAAGTACCAATTTCATGAAGCTAATATTGGCATAAGCCCTATGTACTGTACATGCCCATGACATAAGAAAAATACAAAAAAACTTGAATTAAAACTTAAATAAAAAACAGGTTCACTTTAAGCAGTTGAAAAACACAAAACCCTAATTTCCTGCTACGCCAACCACAAGATAAGCACAAGATAAGGATTACCGTTTAGGCATTCTCAAAAAAAAGCAGAAGTTAGTTTCAAAGGAAATAGGTGTAAATAATAACCAAACGGTGGAACTGTTCTTGCTTAAAGAAATATTTAGAGATTTTAAAGGGGAACCTTCACCAATAAAAATAATCTCACCTGCTCAAGATGGCTGCGTGGGAGCTAAGCTAATAAAAACTTTGTCTGCTAGGAAGACAATGTTGGACTCCATGGCATGGACTAATAAGTATGTGTTTTTGATTATCATACAGGACCAGTGTTAGGGATTTTTTTCATTTATTACAGGTATTTAAACAGCGCCAACAATTGTTACACAGCACTTTACATAGTTGCACATTCACATCAGTGCCTGCCCTCAAAGAGCTTACCATCTACACTCCCTATCACACTTACATGCAAGGCCAATTTTTGGACATGAGTCAATTAGCCTTCATGTCTTTGGAGCGTGGGAGTAAATCGGAGGAAACCCATGCAAGAACAGGCAGAACATGCAAACTCCTTGCAGATGGCATCCTGACAGGGATTTGAACAGGGGACCCTAGTGCTGCTAGGTGGGTGAAGTTCCTTGCTAAGAGAACACAATTAAATACCGCAAAATGTTTATTTAAAATGTGTTAGGGTGTTACTTTAAATCTGATTCTAGTGGGAAAAGGTGCAGAGAGTCGGGTTCTCTTCACATTGAGCTGAATACTGCAGATAATTTTCTCCGTACACAATTTGTTTTTCCAAAATCATTACATTATTGGAGTGCAGACAAACCCAAGTTAAATAAATTACTTCAATTAATTAATGAACCCCTTTTTCGGGCAGGAGATTCTCCTCAATTTGATAAGAAAAAAATAAAGGCATATTTACCACATGGTGAATGATCAGTTCACCGTTTATACACCACTGAATACCACAGGATGGTTCACTTTAGATACCCATTCACCACCCATGTGTTTGCAAGTCACGCTCAATGATTATTTCTCATCCCTCAGTGGAATCTCACCTGTCGGGAAAGTTCCCTGTATTTATAATACAGCGAATGTTACAGCCATCAGTGTGAGCTATTGACATTCACAGCTTGAAGGTAAAATTAATGATACCTATAGAAGATCTACTGCACTCCATCCATCCACGCATACGGTATGTATTCACCCTCCGCACCTGCTGCTAGAATTTTTCTGAATATGTATGGTGAATGCTAGCGAATGTGCAAAATTATATGGCTTTTCTTACATTTTGTCCCTATATATATCTACGGAGAGTTTAAACACATCCTGCTAGTGGTTAACATTTTAGGGAGGAAGACATGGACTGGAGTTCCATATCATGATAAAATAATGATGGTAATGCCAACGTTTCATGTGTACATTACACCAGTCCTCTGACCACACTGCATGATGTCATCTATACAAATACATTCATAAGGGATAAGAATTAACAGGATTTCCTCTGCAGGTAATCTGATAATCTGAAACAGAAGTGTTCTTCCATTCTTACAACTTACTTATCATTTTTTTAATTTTTTTTAATTATTGGTATTTATATAGCGCCGACAATTTACGCCACGCTTTACATAGCGACATATTATGAGTATGACATATATTATATTAAAATAAACTAATTATGGTAATATTATAATTTCATTATTATATAGGATGTGCATATATAGACAGACAGACAGACATACAGACAGACAGACAGACAGACAGACAGACAGACAGACAGACAGACAGATAGATAGATAGATAGATAGATAGATTAGATAGATATAAGATAAGATAGATAGATAGATAGATAGAAAATAATAACTGTAACTTTTACTTTACTTATAATTCTTGATATCATATAATGATATTGTATAATGTAATATAATTGGAATGTATTACTGAAGAATGAAAAATAGATAGATAGATAGATAGATAGATAGATAGATAGATAGATAGATAGTTAGATAGAAAGATAAGATAAGATAGATAGATAGATAGATAGATAGATAGATAGATAGATAGATAGATAGATAGATAGAAAATGTTAATAACTGTAACTTTTACTTTACTTATAATTCTTGATATCATATAATGATATTGTATAATGTAATATAATTGGAATGTATTACTGAAGAATGAAAAATAGATAGATAGATAGATAGATAGATAGATAGATAGATAGATAGATAGATAGATAGATAGATAGATTTTTTATTAATATATACAGTATGTTGCTTATTGAATGTTTTACTTTTCCTAATTTTCTTGATTTTATAATTAAATAATTTCAGAGAAAGAGATAGATAGATGAACATATATTTGCTTACTTAACACTTTACCTTAGAATTATAATTTTCTGTTATACTGCAATCATGTAATAATGGCAATGTCATAATTAAAACATGTTAGAGAGAGAGAGACAGAGAGAGAAATAGAGATAGATAGATAGATAGATAGATAGATAGATAGATAGATAGATAGATAGATAGATAGATAGATAGATTTTGCTTACTGGACATTTAACTTTTTTTTTTACATTCTTAATAAAATGATGATGTACCATTGCCAATAATTGCATCAATTTATAGTGGTAGATGATAGATAGATAGATAGATAGATAGATAATACATAGATAGATAGATAGATAGATAGATAGATAGATAGATAGATAGATAGTATTTTTTTCCTCACCAGCGGTTGATGTCACAGCAGTGATTTCGGAATAGATTTCATAGTCTGTACACTTCTTTTTGGAGGCTTTAATTCTGGCATCTTCCATCCTATGGCCGGCAATGTCTAATCTCTATGGGGTTTGGTTGTTGCAGTGCATCAGTTCATTCTTTTTTTCCACAATTTTAAGTTAGCACTGAGGTGATGTCATCCCAATTCTGGCTGATTGGGACCACCAATCACACGCAGTCCCAGCTAATTAAATGGAGCTACAACTAATCAGAGAGGGAGAGGACAGGCCCCGAGTCAACCTCTGACCTGACAAAGACATTGACTGCAGGAGGAGTACAAACTCTGCCTACTGAAATGAGTATACAGTTTGGAGAATAGGCATCCCTGACTCTGTGGGTGGCATGGGGACTAGTGGACAAAGGACTGACTTTACACTAACATTGAGCTTGTGTTTTGTTAATCTGCAGAATGAAGTGACCTAGTGACAGCAGTGCTGCTTGGTTAAGTAATTCCTAATATTCACTTTGTAATTAGTGCATTCATTTGATGTTTAATGTGAGAATGGTTAAAGCCAACAAGAAAGCAGAAGAAGCATATTGCACTGTGTTGTAGCATTGTATTAGGTCCCTGATATAGATTGTTATAGATTGTTACAGATTTGCGCTCTCTCTCTCTCTCTCTCTCTCTCTCTTTAGAAGAGCAAACATTTACAACACTGAATTGAAAGAAAACTACAATTCCTGAATATTTAATTATTGATGTATTCTACAAATGTATTCTACTCAGTGACTGCATGCAACAACTGTTACATAATCATGATTGATCATAAATTATTATAGCACAGGAAATTCCACTCTTCCTACACCAGATGTTTGCCATTGGCAGGACACCTTTCAATAATGAGAAGATATGATATTGAATAATGTATTGAATATTTTGTATATCTATCTATCTATCTATCTATCTATCTATCTATCTATCTATCTATATATATATCTATCTATCTATTCCTTATATTACAGTTTGCCAGCTAAGATCGGTAGAATTTAAAGCAGACCTTCACTGATAAGTAAATATATTTAGAATCTATTTCTCATATTGATCTATAATAGTTTTACCGCTGGAACTGGTGGAATTTAAAGCAGACCTGTCACTTATGAAAAGGCTGAAGCAATACAGGAATCACTTTTACTTACCCTGCCACTAAACACTGACATAATTGATGTAAACACTTTACTTTATCTAATTAGTAAACTGCTGCAGGTCCAACGACAGATATACTTATTTTGTTTAGCTATTATATTAATCTCCTCATTGTTCTCCTTCATTAGGTATATATGTGTATGTAGAATGGGGTTGGTGGACAGGTGAATAGAGTGTATTATAAACATGGGCCCATTGTTCTTCGCCTTTCTTCCAAACATATTTGTATATGTTGTAAAAGTGTTGGAATAGTTTCATAAATCCAGTGCTGGGAAGCCTGTTGTTTTCCCCCTCCTTCCCCATCAGCCTTGTACAACAATGTCCACAGACTAGTGGGAATAGCCATTGATTTCTGGTTGGAATTCTATTCAGTACCTTTAAAACGGATTAATCCTTCAATTCCAGCCCATGTATACAACCTTGAACAGCTTCATCTATTAATCATTTAGAAGCTAACACTGATAATTAGGTAGAAATGAATGAAATATTAAGTAGTTCAATTATATATTGGAGAAGACTGGGCAGATGAGTACAAATCATTTCTACCTCAGTGAGAAAAAAGAGAAACCAATCAGAAGACATTTAGAATTAAAACAGTAGATCCCAGCACTGATATCTTTCATTACAGTGGGGATGGTAATCTAATAGCCTGTTATAGAAGAGGTGAATATGCAAATAATGGGCTAAAGTGTATATTAGGGAGGGTTAGTGTTAGGGTTGGAGTTTCAAGATATGTAAGTGTGAGAATTAATTTTACGGCAAGGGTTATGTAGAGGGTTAGTTTTAGATTTTTGGGGTTACAAGGTGGGTTTGTGTGAGAGTTAGTGTTATGGCAAGGGTTACATGGAGGGTTAGTGTTAGATTTTGGGGTTACAAGGTGGGTTTGTGTGAGAGTTAGTGTTACGGCAAGGGTTATGTAGAGGGTTAGTTTTAGATTTTTGGGGTTACAAGGTGGGTTTGTGTGAGAGTTAGTGTTATGGCAAGGGTTACATGGAGGTTTAGTGTTAGATTTTGGGGTTACAAGGTGGGTTTGTGTGAGAGTTAGTGTTACGGCAAGGGTTTTGTAGAGGGTTAGTTTTAGATTTTTGGGGTTACAAGGTGGGTTTGTGTGAGAGTTCGTGTTATGGCAAGGGTTACATGGAGAATTATAATTTCATTATTATATAGGATGTGCATATATAGACAGACAGACAGACATACAGACAGACAGACAGACAGACAGACAGACAGACAGACAGACAGATAGATAGATAGATAGATAGATAGATTAGATAGATATAAGATAAGATAGATAGATAGATAGATAGAAAATGTTAACTGTAACTTTTACTTTACTTATAATTCTTGATATCATATAATGATATTGTATAATGTAATATAATTGGAATGTATTACTGAAGAATGAAAAATAGATAGACTAGATAGATAGATAGATAGATAGATAGATAGATAGATAGATAGATAGATAGATAGATAGATAGATAGATAGATTTTTTATTAATATATACAGTATGTTGCTTATTGAATGTTTTACTTTTCCTAATTTTCTTGATTTTATAATTAAATAATTTCAGAGAAAGAGATAGATAGATAGATAGATAGATAGATAGATAGATAGATAGATAGATAGATAGATAGATTTTTTATTAATATATACAGTATGTTGCTTATTGAATGTTTTACTTTTCCTAATTTTCTTGATTTTATAATTAAATAATTTCAGAGAAAGAGATAGATAGATGAACATATATTTGCTTACTTAACACTTTACCTTAGAATTATAATTTTCTGTTATACTGCAATCATGTAATAATGGCAATGTCATAATTAAAACATGTTAGAGAGAGAGAGACAGAGAGAGAAATAGAGATAGATAGATAGATAGATAGATAGATAGATAGATAGATAGATAGATAGATAGATAGATTTTGCTTACTGGACATTTAACTTTTTTTTTTACATTCTTAATAAAATGATGATGTACCATTGCCAATAATTGCATCAATTTATAGTGGTAGATGATAGATAGATAGATAGATAGATAGATAATACATAGATAGATAGATAGATAGATAGATAGATAGATAGATAGATAGATAGTATTTTTTTCCTCACCAGCGGTTGATGTCACAGCAGTGATTTCGGAATAGATTTCATAGTCTGTACACTTCTTTTTGGAGGCTTTAATTCTGGCATCTTCCATCCTATGGCCGGCAATGTCTAATCTCTATGGGGTTTGGTTGTTGCAGTGCATCAGTTCATTCTTTTTTTCCACAATTTTAAGTTAGCACTGAGGTGATGTCATCCCAATTCTGGCTGATTGGGACCACCAATCACACGCAGTCCCAGCTAATTAAATGGAGCTACAACTAATCAGAGAGGGAGAGGACAGGCCCCGAGTCAACCTCTGACCTGACAAAGACATTGACTGCAGGAGGAGTACAAACTCTGCCTACTGAAATGAGTATACAGTTTGGAGAATAGGCATCCCTGACTCTGTGGGTGGCATGGGGACTAGTGGACAAAGGACTGACTTTACACTAACATTGAGCTTGTGTTTTGTTAATCTGCAGAATGAAGTGACCTAGTGACAGCAGTGCTGCTTGGTTAAGTAATTCCTAATATTCACTTTGTAATTAGTGCATTCATTTGATGTTTAATGTGAGAATGGTTAAAGCCAACAAGAAAGCAGAAGAAGCATATTGCACTGTGTTGTAGCATTGTATTAGGTCCCTGATATAGATTGTTATAGATTGTTACAGATTTGCGCTCTCTCTCTCTCTCTCTCTCTCTCTCTTTAGAAAAGCAAACATTTACAACACTGAATTGAAAGAAAACTACAATTCCTGAATATTTAATTATTGATGTATTCTACAAATGTATTCTACTCAGTGACTGCATGCAACAACTGTTACATAATCATGATTGATCATAAATTATTATAGCACAGGAAATTCCACTCTTCCTACACCAGATGTTTGCCATTGGCAGGACACCTTTCAATAATGAGAAGATATGATATTGAATAATGTATTGAATATTTTGTATATCTATCTATCTATCTATCTATCTATCTATCTATCTATCTATCTATATATATATCTATCTATCTATTCCTTATATTACAGTTTGCCAGCTAAGATCGGTAGAATTTAAAGCAGACCTTCACTGATAAGTAAATATATTTAGAATCTATTTCTCATATTGATCTATAATAGTTTTACCGCTGGAACTGGTGGAATTTAAAGCAGACCTGTCACTTATGAAAAGGCTGAAGCAATACAGGAATCACTTTTACTTACCCTGCCACTAAACACTGACATAATTGATGTAAACACTTTACTTTATCTAATTAGTAAACTGCTGCAGGTCCAACGACAGATATACTTATTTTGTTTAGCTATTATATTAATCTCCTCATTGTTCTCCTTCATTAGGTATATATGTGTATGTAGAATGGGGTTGGTGGACAGGTGAATAGAGTGTATTATAAACATGGGCCCATTGTTCTTCGCCTTTCTTCCAAACATATTTGTATATGTTGTAAAAGTGTTGGAATAGTTTCATAAATCCAGTGCTGGGAAGCCTGTTGTTTTCCCCCTCCTTCCCCATCAGCCTTGTACAACAATGTCCACAGACTAGTGGGAATAGCCATTGATTTCTGGTTGGAATTCTATTCAGTACCTTTAAAACGGATTAATCCTTCAATTCCAGCCCATGTATACAACCTTGAACAGCTTCATCTATTAATCATTTAGAAGCTAACACTGATAATTAGGTAGAAATGAATGAAATATTAAGTAGTTCAATTATATATTGGAGAAGACTGGGCAGATGAGTACAAATCATTTCTACCTCAGTGAGAAAAAAGAGAAACCAATCAGAAGACATTTA